ACTACAGTGAACGATACCTTGGCCACCAACCAAAGATTCGTTTGCTACTATCGAGCGAAGAGGTAATTGAGTTTTATTGATATCGTCGATTGTTAAAGTCGTTTCACATTTTTCCAAATCTTGTCGATTCATCTTTGTATTTAATGTACCACCTCGACATCCAACTACATAGTTCCCGTGGGAATCAGTATCGACTATTACTCCTAAATGTTACAAACTCTAATAGTAATCTTATATTTCTGTAATCTTTCTCATTTCAAAAAAATTGAAATGTATGTCGATAGACTGCAACAAGATATTCCTTTTAAAGCTCTCAAGTAGAACATTTAATTTTCTGAGTCTTAACAAGAGAGAATGATTCATGCGCTTTGGGTGTCCCAAATGGACTGTTTTTGTTGATGAATCATTCTGTTTTCTTAAATTAAAATGAGAAAAATAATAGCTTACGAAGTAGTAGGGGATCAGTTAGATTTTTAATTTGACTGACTTTAATAAGAGCCGAAGCATTCATACAAAAAGCTTACCAATTATCGAGCTCGGATCAGCTCGACTTCAATCAACTGCTGGCACTCGTAAGCGAACATTATCTGATTTTGATAATGGAGGTAATTTCAAAAGTTTCAATGTCATCTTATCTGCTTGTTTACCCTGACTGCAATCGACATGCTCTCGGATTTGCCGTCGTTGTGTTTCCCGCTCACATCTATCGCATGTAAAATATCCCATGCATGCTTTGTGAACGCGTTTTGAACAATTGTCACAAATGGCGTTGTCCATGTCCATCATAACGAGTGTACACGATGAACAAATAATCTCGTCCTCGTTGTCTTCGTCTGTAAATTGGATGGGTTCACTACCAGCACTCACTGAACTCCTTTGTTGATTTTGACTTTCACAGTTGACAGCCGGCGCTGTTGTGACAGGTATAACCTGAGGTTTTCTTAATGTGAACGTAGGGCTGAGTGAAGTTTTGGTCGTCAGATCAAGAAGTTGAGTCCGTTTTGGTGTTCCCACTAAAGCTGCCGATGTAGTCGTAGATGTTGTAATAAGCGATCAAACAGTTGTAGTTTCATCAGATATGGGTTGAGATGATATTGCTTTTGAACTGAGATCAGATAACGATTGCAACATACTCGTGGTTACCATCTGACTATTGGATGATGATGAAGTTGTCGTTATTGTTGAGGCTGTGAGCGCATCACTTTGTTTATCACTGACGACTTGCATGAGCTCCTCTTCTGATGTGATTCGATGAATCGTTTCCGGCGCTAGAGGAAGCGACGATAAACCGAATTTATGAGTTATACCAAACATGGCTTCGAACGGTGTCGACTGAATTCCTATTAAAATATAAGTAGTAGAAGGAATTAGTCGTACTGACGAACTCTTGGTACTAAAATCAATAACCGAACAGGGAGGAGATGCAAGCTCACAATAATTTATCCTATCACGTCAGCATATTTTTCACATACATAATAAACATACATTTCAGCTCTTTTTGTTTCTAGAAATTTGTTTTACAGTTGAGAAAAAAAGAGAGAAAGCGTATTAGTTTATACCAGTATGATAGGACGTGTTCTTTTGATGCATCACGAAACGAAGGCTAGATGACCATTTCGTTGTATTGTTTTCTCTCATCCAAATAGCCAGCTTCTTCTCTACATCTTTATTCGATTCCTCAACCGAGCCCTGAGACTCGGGATGTCTCGGACGCCCGTGCACGATCGATAATCCCGATCACATGTGTTTGACTTCATCGACTATCTGATTATCGAATTCTCGACCATTATCCGATTGTAATACACACGGTGCCCCAAACGTGCAGAATATATCGACGAGATGATATGCGACTTCAGCAGCTCGTTTGCTGGTCATTGGTCGCAGTATCAGGAATTTCGTAAAATGATCCTGGTAATTGAGAATCCATTTGTGATTCCCATCGGGTTTTGACTGTAGATCGATTAGATCAACCTAAAAATTCCAGTTAGTTAATTCTTTCAGCTGAAGTTTGTACAGTTAGCAGTATTTCACGCTCTGGTCAGTCATATAGATTGTACACTTTTTGTATGTTCTTCTGATATCCTTAAATAAAATTCTCCTAATCGAAACGCTGAATGGTCGCCGAAATCATCAATCATAAAGAAAAACGGTCCACGTCTGTTCTTCGATTAAAGAAAAAAATAGTGTTTATGTGTTCTTTCACTCGACAAAAAAAATCGTCAATATTTGCTTAAGAGAGAGTCAATACTTTTAGTGGGTATTTTTTTTCTCTTTCGTTTGTTGGTTTTTTTCCCAGCATGCGTCAATATTTTTGTTCCAGTGATATCGTTCGATGTTTGCTGGTTTATATTATCTTTCCGTTTTCTTCTGATCCTTCTTTGATCTATAGATTTCTGTATGCATATTTATAAGATTCTTGTTTTTCTTAGTAAAAGTATCGACTCATGCTTAGAAAAATCCAACAAAAGAAACGGAAAAAAAATACCCAGTAAAAGGACTATGCGCTACATATAAGTTACCAATTCAACACAATATTCTTCTACGCACTCATCATTTTTTTTCCAATATAAAGAACTGTTAACAGATTAATCAATAAAATATCAGTATTAGAACGTCTCATTTTTTCATTCTTTCAATGAAGTGATTAATCTTATCACCAGTGAGAATCAAGCCCTATCGGAGGCGTTAAGAGATTCAAAAGAAAAGGCAGTTCCTCGCATTGTCGAGTTAGCCAAGTCCGATGTCGTGCGACGGTGCAACGACAAACTTCAAATTAATCTTATTAATCAAATCAGCGACTATTTTCGTAGTCTGTCTATGGCAACAAATCAGTTTGCCATTTATTGTCAAGAGGCTGAACGACGATTTCCTTTAGTCTTAAAATATGCTAAAACTGCAGAATGGAGTAACACTCTCGCGGCTTTTCGAAAGGTCGATGATACGTATTCGAACGTCGAAGCGATGATCAACTCTTGTGATACCCAATTCAAAATGATTATGGACACTAGTAATGCATTTTACGAAGAGAACCAAGCCTGGGGCTCAGCACTGGTCAGTTTGGTAGCGCTTAATATGAACGAGGACAAGTGTCAAGAAACAAGACCAATCCTACGCGCCGCGGCGATTACTTTCATTTCTATTTCGATGCTTCCTTTTATCATGGATTATATTCAACAGCGAGCGAGGTAAGCAAAATAAGACTCGTTTGGAAGACATTCGCAAAAGCTACACACATGACACAAGGAATCAGAAAATCAAAATCCATTTCATCATTTCGCCTACATGTATCTGCTGCGTTTTATCGGATTTTGCCTGAAGCAATAAGCTCAGCAGCCTCGACAAATTTTTTCATTCTTGAGTTCGTAGAAGCTACAGGGGCGACCATGTGTTGCGAAGAGATATCCCCACGAGAGCTTTTCCCATAGTATTCATGGATTAATATAGGAGATACTGACATTTGAGCGTCTATTGATTAGCTCAACTTTATCTAAACAAAACTCATGATCGACGGTTTGTAGAAATAATAATGCTGACGACTGGCGAAGACAAATGCAAAAGCAACAACAATCATCAAACGGTAATCCCCGCGAGCACTCTAATGTAAATCCCATTCCCAACGATCTCACGCCGATAGCATCGGGCACACTTCAGCATTGGCCTCGTTCTGTTGGACTGATACTGTCTCTCTTATTCCTTATGGTTTACTTTGCTTGTTGGTTGCCACATCCTGAAGAAGTTTCGTGTGCATCTCAATTCAGTACCTTCGTAGAGCGTCATCATATCTCCTTCTACATTGACGAAGTGCGACCAGCGCAGGCTAGGCTCAAGTCGAATATGAAGACTGTGATGTCAGATATCTCGTATTTGGCCCAAGTAAATCGCAACACTACTGCTTTGCAGCTACGGGATTCGATATGGCGATCACTTTCGTTCGATGTCGAAAATATGACCAAGGCTTTTCAAGAGAGTGCCAAATTGGAAACTGAGATCATCAAGAACCTAGGTGAGCTTGAACAAAGGAGCTCCAAGAAAGGCACTTCGGTTGAAGCGGTCAAGTCAACTTCTGCAACGTTCGTACGAGATGCGGCCCGGATGTATTCGATTATGAAATTGCACCTGCGTGGACATCTTCAAATCCTTCCTCAGTTAGATCAAATGGCCGCCGTTCTTGTTGAATCTGTGATTGTGGGTCGCGATCCGATCAGTTACAATCGCATTAGTAGACAACACGCGCAAGTTATCGAACGCGCAATCGGCGACCTGAACAAAATCACTGCCTACGTTGAATCCATGCAGCAAGAAACAGAGACGGCACTGAGCATGATAAATGACGCATTGGCCGATGTCAGCAAACAAAAAAAGTCAGGAGAGACTCAAAAATATATCGGAGGCGCGGCTGTCGGTGCCGGTACGGAATTCATCGCTGTGGGTACTGCGTCTGGTGTCAAATTAGCCCTTACTAGTGCGGCAATAATGGCAAATCCCGTTTTAGCGCTCATGGTCACAGGCACTGTAATAGGAGCTGGTGGTTTTGTCGCGTATATGAAGGGCGCAGCGATCCAAGTCGATTCAACTGATTTAACTAAAACATTGAAAGCAATACAGGCGTCATTTCATCGAATTCGGACGCTGACTGAGGATCAGCGAACATATTTGCTAGAGATGCAAGGGGTTTGGAATTCACAACAAATCAATCTGAGCAACTTTGAAGACACAGTTATTTCCCACCTTCAGACAACACTTAGTCCTTTTTCTGAAGGAGAAATCCAAATCATGCGAGATATTCAGCATAACGTTTCTCTCAGGAATAGAGAGATTGGCCAGCTGATCAAGAATGTCCTGGCTATCACGCCGTCTACAAGGCAACAAAAACAGGACCATCTAGACGAATGACAGAATACAATTAGCTTGCGACGATTGCTTTTGCTTTATTTTCACTGTTTGTATGACACTGACAGTTCCCTTTTGTCTAATTTATTTTAATGCTCACTTACTTTTCACAACAATTCTCATCAAAGAAAATCGGGCCGCTATCAGAGCTGCTCGGTGACGTCTTGCGGGGTAGCTCCGAATCCCAGAAAATGTTCGGGATGGGACAAACGGGATTGAGGATTATCAAAATTTTTTAGGACACTACTGTATATGAAGTAGTATTCATTATGAATAGAGTTTTTCGAGACAACATACCGACGCGTTTAGGCTTTTTATACCGCATCTTGTAGCGATAGATAGACCTCGAAAAAGAAAAGAAAAACCTGAAAAGGATTTATCTCCTTGCCTATGTATCAAGCTTTCAAGATATATATGAAAACAGGAAATGAAACGCAAATGATTATTTTCTAGAGAATACTGAAGTGTGACCACTTCTTTCTACTAGAAGTCAGCAAAAGGGAAGGCCTCAATGAACGGAATTCTTCATGAGGGTGAGGGTGTGAGGGTGAGTATTATGGAAAAGATATAGCCACGACTAGTTTCGTCCTTTCTCAGAATTTTCATCAACAAATCTTGGTATCAGGCTTATTTTGTGCTGTGGTTGTTCAATATAAGATAGGAAGTTATGGTCGTATCTGTTCATCATATCTTATGGCGATGTTTGAGGTTACTTGATGTCACTGCTTGATGGTCTGTGTTTAACGTTGAGATTTGTCAAAGAAGATCGTAGTCTGCACGAAAATGATTTGTTTGTAGCGTGTCGGAGTAGAACCTTGTGAATCTACGAAAGTTTGAATGAATTGTTCCTAGAATCAATCAAGTACTAGAATGCTGCTTTCCATGTTGCTTTCGTTAACAATTTGATGGAATCGTAGTGTGGGTTGGTATCTGGGTTCGAATTCCAGATCCGTTGAACAAAGGTGACTTGTATTTGCACACGTTGCTTTTGCTTTCCTGATTGAACCTGAAATTGGTTTCGGTGCTGATTGTAGAATGCGGATATTTGACCTCGATGGAACTACAACAAGCTCGTCGGTCATGTTGCAGTCACTAGTAGGTAGTTGGTGTAAGCAGTTCCGCTTCTGTTCTGAATGGGAGAATATCGTTCGCAGTATCGCAGTTGTACGAAGTTGGGCTGTGATTAAATTCAACGAGATATTAATTAAAAATATGATAGCATGCTCAAGGTGAACGCATCTGTCTCTAGAGTTTTCTGTCATGCATCTGGTTCATCAGTGATGAAGAACGAAAGACTTATCGAAGGGACAGCTATTGATCAACGAAAGCGGCTGATTCAATTGAAGAAGAAGAAAATCGATATGATCGTACTGTTCAAACTGTATACGTTTTGTCTAATCGAAGACCAGGGTTCAATTCCCTGCGGTGGCTGATCTGACAGAGGGGAAATATATTTTTTTAATTTCAGCACTAACAATCTATTTGCCAGGGAATGATACATCAGTGACTCATCCTGTATGGTGATTGCGTCAGATCAGACGCGAAGAACAGAATTATTTCTTTTCGTACTGACCTTCATATCTGCACAAAGTCTTTGGATGTTTTGCAAGAGAATGGCAGTCCGACCGAACTATCTCGGTCATGCATCTAAATTTTATTTACAATGACCTCGAAGAGTGAACTTCGCGTGGATGTTTTAGTATTTGGAATATAGTGTGACCAGATTTAGTTCGCACTTCATTTTTTTCACATTCATACCCACCATGCCCTGTGTGTCATACATATCAACAAGGCCAGATTCGATTTTGGAGAAATTAATGATCATTAACATCAACATAAGGTAAAATAACCGTTGAGCACAAAGAATCTGCTAGATGTAGAGCGAAAGTAGAGGTGAATGCACAACGTGGAACAAGCTCACTAAAACTAATCCGGACTCAGTATTCAGTTCCACTATTCGTTCCAGTCGAGTACTTCCCATTGCTGCCGATGTTACTCTGAATAAAACAGCCATCATTATCTATTTTCTTACGTAATAAAATGTACTCTCACCATGTGATCCATACGATAGCAAAAGAGCGACGAGATAATGCTCGACTATCAAAAACAAGC